AGAAAAAGAGAGAGATACGGTAGAGAGGTAATAAAGAGATAAACAGAGAGAGAGAGAGAGAGAGAGAGAGAGAGAGAGAGAGATAAAGAGATGAGAGAGAGTTGATATAGATGAATGGTAGATTGAGAGAAAGAGATGATAGATGATAGACAGACAGACAGACATAGAGATAGATAGATGATAAACATATAGAGACAGATACATCTCTCTCTCTCTCTCTCTCTCTCTCACATACACATACACACACACACACACAAAATTTATCTTGTCTTGGCAGCCTCTCGGCAACAGGCCAGCCTCCATTGCCAGCCAGTCAGCTGGTTCATCCCCAGTTCAAAAGGCTCAAGGCGGTTTGTCCAGGCTTGTCAACGCCATTCAACCCGGTTCCAAAATGGGGTCAAGGACAGATGTCCAGACGTCACCTAGTTTCCCCCCCACCCCGAAGCGGACACAGAACTTTCTTTGAACTCAAACCCCCCCGCCCCAAAATCTTGGCCGCTGCAATCAAGACAGACACACACACACACACACACACACACACACACATTTCACAAGACTGGCTTCAAGTTTTGCCATTCGGTAGACAATGGTTTATCGGAGGGGCTTGCTGACCAGACCAAGCCTTTCCTAAAATGGCGGTGGGGGCGGGATGGACGAAGGAAGACCTCCCCCAGACCCATTTCCGAGGATTTAAGGGTGGGTGGTGGGTGGGGATGTCTCTTCTCTACCCCACCCCCTTCAAAGGGGGGGAGGGGGTGTTAAAGGTTGGTAGGAAGGGAAACATGGTCATTTGTGGGGTCTCCGTGGCAGTTTTTCAATGTCGGCACTGTGAAGAGAGGGTGGACTTCAACTCCCAGAATTCCCCAGCAAACACTCCATAAGATTTGGGGGGGGGGGGGGGAAATGCCTTTTATTTAAAGCACGGCGGCTGAGAATTCTGGGAGTCAAAGTCCATTCATCTTCAAGCTGGGGGATTCTGGGAGTTGGAGTCCATTCAGCTTCCAGGGGCCAAGTTACACCCTTCACCTTGAGCCAAGCTGGCAAAACGTCCATCCATTCTCTTCAGGCTTCGAAAAAATATTACATTTCATCCAGTCATCCGAATAAAGTGCATAATGTGCCAGTGTCTTTCCCAGAGGGAGCTCCATCTCAGATTATTTGACACATTTGATACTCAGAAAAGGTTTTTAACCCCCAAAATATACTGGGGAACAACAGAACTCGATCGCATCAAATCAGGTTTTCACCCACTTTATAAACGGAATTACCATTTAAAAAAAAAAAAAAAATCAGAAACGAAAGGAATAGGCAAATCTTTCACCAAATCCGAGCTCTGCCACTCTTTTCTTTGCCCAGTAGAGGTCGCCCTAGACTTACAATTCAGCCCTGAAAACCTCCGTCGCTAAACAAGACGGCTGTCAGGTCCGTTTCGCCCCGTTTTACCACCTTTCTGGCCACCGCCGTTAAGCAAATCCCTGCAGCCGTTCAGCAAATGTGGCTGGCCCCCATCTGGCTTTGCTGGTCCCCCGAGGCCACTGCGACCGTCGTAAGTATGAGTCAGTCGCCGAGCGTGTGAATTTTGAGGCCGCAACAGTCGTTAAGTGTGGAAAATGGATTCTAAGTCACTTTTTCCATGGCTGTGGTGACGCCAAACAGCCACTAAATGAAACGGTGGTAAGTCGAGGAATGCTTGGGCAAGGTTCAGAAAAAGCTGCAAATCCTGCCAGTCCTCGAGTTACGACTATTCACCAAGTTCAAAGTTAGGAGTCATGATCAGTCCTTTTTCAGTAATGGCCATTTAGGAGCCTGGCCACCCTCATGGAAGATGGAAAGAGAAAAAGGAGAAAAAAGAAGAGAAGAGAGGAGAAAAAGGAAGGCAGGAAGAAGAGGAAAGAAGAGAAGAGAAAGAGAAAGGAAGGAAGGAAGGAAGGAAGGAAGGAAGGAAGGAAGGAAGGAGAAGAAAGAGGAAGGGAAAGAGAAGGAAGGAAGGGAAGGAAGAAGAGGAAAGACAAAAGAAAAGAGAAAGAAAGAAAGAAAAAGAAAAAGAAAGAAGAAGAAAAAGAAGAAAGAGGAAGGGAAGGAAGAAAAAGAGAAAAGAAGATGAAAGAGAAAAAAAAAAAAGAGAAGAAAAGAGAGAGAAAGAGAGAGAGAGAGAAAGAAAGAAAGAAAGA